AAAATGTAAATTTAGTTGTAGAAAGGCTCAATTATTATAATGTAAAAGTGAATATAGAAAAATGTAAATTTTTTGAGGAAAAGGTGGATTACCTGGGGCATCAAATTGATAAGTGGGGAGTTCATCCTACGCAGGAAAAATTACGTGCAATTAACGAGGCACCGGAACCAGTAAATATCACACAACTGAGGGCCTACTTAGGCCTCATAAACTATTACCACAGATTTGTTCCCATGCTAGCTTCACAGTTGCGACCGTTATATCAACTCCTTGAGAAAAATGTAGATTTCAAGTTTAGCAAAAATTGCCAGGAAGCTTTCATTTTAAGCAAAGAATTAATAAAAAAAAATCAAATCCTGACACATTATGATCCAAGCAAAACTATTGTAGTTGCATGTGATGCGAGTGCATATGGTGTAGGTGGTGTGTTGAGTCACCGGGAAAATGATGTAGAAAAACCTGTATGTTATACATCAAGTACGTTGTCAATGGCTGAACAAAATTATTCGCAATTGGAACGGGAGGCACTCGCTATAATTTATTCTGTAAAAAAATTCCATAAATACATTGTTGTGTTATTTTGTTTTAGTTGTAACTTGAAAGAAATTATAGAGCGTCTGGATGTGACAATTTTGTTTAGTTCAATGAATTAACCGGGGGGGTTATTAATAATTTGAGACACAGGATTGCGTAAATTTCATGTTATAGTTTTGGTTCAATTTCTTAGAAGTGTTCTGTTTTTATTTTATTCCTAGAATTTTTTTCGATGTAAATTTCTTTTTAAATTTTATTTGCCGTTAACGAGGTATAGCGCGAAGTAGAGATAAGGTTCTTCGCAGAATTGCCGGGCGTACGTGCCGTTCAGCAAGAAGTTGAAAAATCGACGCTTCGCGTGATTGGCGGGCGGGATGTTGAAGAAAGGAGAAGGGCTTTTGGCTTAAATAGGAAATTTTTGAAGAGAGCGGGGCTTTTTGGTCGTTAAAAAGCCAACCGGCGCTTCTTCGGTTACGTTATTTTTGAATTTTGTGGAAGTTTCTTGCGTAGTGGATCCAGGTTTAATTAGAATTTTGTGTCTGCCGTTTTAAGAAGAATTTATGAGAAGTTTAAGAAGTTTGTCGCCGTCCTGTTTTTTTTTATTTTGCGGAAACACGGAAATTTTGAATTTGTGGGTACCCGAAGAGAGAAGACGTCGGTGTTTGAGTGTTTGGTTTGCGTGTTTGTGTACGGATACCTCTTTTTATCGGAGTACGTTACTCGGACTAATTTTAAAAGTAAGTAGTAGTTAGTGTTTTGTTTTGTCTTGTTTTTTTTTGTAATGTTTGAGTAATTTGTTTTTTTTTTTGTGTGTCATTTATCTGTTTAAAATTGTAACAATTTGTAAAACAGAAATTTACGCAATTTTTTGTTTGAAATTAAACCAGTCATTGCAATCCAGGTTTTGTTTATTAGAGTCAAGGAGAGGTAATTGTCGGCGTCTCTTACTTTGTTTCAAGTTGATTAAATCTGGGGGTAAAGTTTCATATTGGAATTTAAGGATTTGGTTAAGCCACCTATTTATGTCATTGTTGGAATGCTGTAGGGTGGCAGAATCCAGCTGGACCTTGAGATGCGGATAAAAATTTTGTTTTCATTTTAATTACAACTGAGCTAGCTAGAGGGAAATCGTGGGATTCCCAGAAGTGTAGGTTAGGTCTCACAACAACATATATGGGAGGCCTTTTATTTTAATTAGTGATCATCAACCGCTAAGAATGATTTTCAACCCTAACAAAAGTATCTCAGTAATGTCAGCTTCTAGAATTATCCGCTGGAACATCATTCTTTCGGCATATAGTTACCAAATTGAATATCGAAAGGGGACACAGCTGTGTGAGGCTGATATGCTATCAAGGTTACCTTTGAAGGAGCCTACCCATGTAGATGGGTCCATTTATGCGTTTAATGTAACGGAAGAGTTGCCTATTTCGTATCAAGAGGTAGCCAAAGTATCTAAAACCGACCCAATATTAATGAAAGTTATTAACTTTGTGAAGACGGGTTGGCCAAACAAAGTTGATGGGGAGTTAAAACCTTACTTTGCCAAACGTGGTGAATTATCAATAGAACAAGGTTGTTTAATGAAGGGCATCAAAGTGGTAGTACCAAGGGCGTTACAAAATTACATCTTAGAACTTATTCATGAGGATCATGTAGGCATTGTAAGAGCAAAAATGCTGGCCAGATCAGTAGTCTGGTGGCCAAATTCACAGGCAGATATTGAAAGTATGATACTAGCATGTTCAGTATGTCAGCGAAATCAGTCAAATCATGAAAAGTATTTGGTATCTTGGCCTAAAACAGAGAATGTATTCTCACGAATACATGTCGATTTCTTTCATATAGAGAATAAAACTTTCTTATTAATTGTAGATAGTAAGTCGCTTTGGGTCGACATACATCCAATGTCTAAAGGTACTAATGTGACCCAGACAATTGAGAAGTTAAAACACACCTTTGCGTTTATTGGTCTGCAAGATACTCTTGTGAGTGATAATGGTCCTCCGTTTAATGCTACCGATTTTACAAAGTTTTGCCAACTAAATGGAGTCCAGTGCCTAAAGACTCCCCCGTATCACCCACAATCGAACGGAAGTGCTGAACGACAGGTGGCTACTGTTAAAAGTGCACTTAATAAATATTTGTTGCAAGGGTCGTCGTTAACGGTGGAGCAGCAAATGGTTAATTTTTTGTTCAGTTATAGAAGCACACCAAATAGTTCAGGTAGTAGTCCTAATGAAATGATTTTTAAAATAAAACCTAAGACAAGGATAGATTTGCTAAAACCGAAGAAGGGAGGACAAGTAGTACTAAAGGAGGCCAATGAGTTTTTGAACCCCCCAATGTTTGTGACAGGTGAAAAGATCTTGGTAGGGAAACTAGGACCTTATTGTGATGAGAAGTGGAAGATAGGGGAAATTGTAAAAGTAGTGAGCGCGGTAACATATTTGGTTAAGGTAGAGGATAAAATTCTGTATAAGCATGTGAATTCTATTAGAAAATTTAGGGATATAGAGAAAGCGGATTCCAGCAATTCTCAGCTGGTAAATCCTGGGGTACCTATTGAGAGCACACTTATAAATATGTCGCCTAAACCTATTTCAAGCGAAGTACCCGCCACAAAGCCGTTACTCATCGAAACTCAGCCTGAACAACCGCCACCTGTCGTGGCAAATGATTGTGGTGACGATAATAACTCCAATCCGCCTGTACAATCACCTTTGCCGGAGGTACGGCGCAGTAATCGGGTACGGCATGCTCCAATCAGGTTAGATTTATAATTCTTTTAAGGTATGTTAAATAGAAATAAGAAAGGGGAAAATGTTATGTATTTTCCTTATAAAAATAGAAATGTGGCAACACAGGAAAAATGTAAGGTTAAGACAGACCACGCTACCGTGCGCGGGAATGCGAGTTGTTTTTCGTCTGTCTGTCGTTTTTGGTATTCTTGTGTTTGGTATTGTTGCTAAGGTCAAGAAGTCATTAAAATATACGACTAATTCGTGGAGCCCACGATTGTGTTTTATTTCGGTTGTAGATACAATAAGTCCAAACAAAAGTTCTAAATCGCTTAACCGGTTAGGGTATGCTAATAAACGTCGTAAACACATGCATAATGCTTCCAATCCTAAAAATGTTTTTACTCATGACCTATTATCGGCGTGTTCATTTACACACCTGAAGTTACATGCCTCCGGTTAGTTCTTATTTCATTTGGAATGCGAAGAGCTTCTTGGAGAGGGATCAAATCATTTCGATGAAACCGAAAATAGTGACGGATTTCCTCATCAGTTAACTCGTCGAGATTAAATCTTGGATAACGTTCTGCCCTTATTCCATCCATGTTCCTGTTTTCTATATTTGCCGCTAATAATTCATCCACTGCCTCAAAAACATCTAATAATGGTATCTCAAGCAATTCTTCCATTGAAACAGAGTATTCAGGTATGTTAGAGCAATTTAAAATGAAAGGAGTAAATTTTTAAGGTTATGTTTATTCAGTTTATCGTTAACGGTTGGCGGGAATTTGCGACAACTAAAGTCATTGAATTTATAACTATCAGTCTGTAAAAAAATCAGCTTCATTCGTCCAACCGTAACAGAGGCGAATTTTGGCGATGAATGTGGTTCGCGTATAAGGAACCAATGCATTTTGGCGACGAACAAGTGACGTCATTGTTATGAAATCGTAACGCGGTTTCACGAAACGCTGGATGATGGTTGAGGGAAGTGTTCAATAATTGCAAATTTAACGGTTCGTTAATACTCGTGTTGTCGTTTTCGGCCGAGTGCGAGGTCGAGTCTCGAGTGTAAACAATTTAACCTCACTTCGTTGTGTACGATTTTGTGTATTTTGATTTTCATGAAGTTCTTATTCGTTACGTTATAATGCAAAACGTTCAAAATGCAAGTATTGTAGATGTGGAAGATGATTGCTATGTAATTGAATTAGAAGGTAAAAAAATTGACTTAAATTTTGCTCCCAACTACCTACATTATTAATTACAGATGGAACAAAATATAAACTGCCGCCGGCATGCGGTAAATACATGTTGTAACCTTAGGCGCTTTCTTTCGGTGATCCAAACGCGTTTGGATTGTCAAATCACGTTCTTTCGAAGTGTGATCTTATGATCATGATTGCTAAAATCGAGAACAAACTGAACATAAAAGTTTTATGATCACGAATTCCTAACCTATAAATGCAAGGATATTTTTGCTCAAATGTTAGGTTAGTCCATATTTATAACTGAAGAGGAGCATAATCGCGCAAGTACTTCCACTTGAATATAAATTATTTTCATAATCCAAACAAAAAATGCGTAATTCGAATGCAAATGTGTACTACGTAAACTTAACCATACTTTGATTTAAATTCGCGCTTTCTTTCGTAAAACGTGATCCTAGGGATCACGATTTTGAAATCATGATTGCAAAGTAGCCGAAAGAAAGCGCCTCTTATGTAGGTAAATATGTAATCACATTTAGCGTCAGCCTAGACACAGCCACATAATTCAGCTGAAGGTCAACAGGGACAAGCGGAGGAAGGCGAAGGTGGCTAGTAGTACTACGCTCGAGTGTGGATAAGGAGTTCTAAAATTTTGTTGCATTATTCATGAATTTAATAAAGATGTTCTTTGATTAATCGGATTAATCCAGTAATCACAACAAAATTGGCGACGAGGAACGAGGATGAGCACGATGCAGCCACGCAATGAGTAAGCACGTTTCCACATATCACAAGTTCAAGATCCATCCAATGAAACTATTTTACCTGATTGCTATTGCTCATCGAATATAAATAATCAGCATGACGGAATTAACCCAATTTATCGCTACTTTGCAACAACTACTGGAAAAAGTTAGTAACCCGACCCCGCACCCAGAGACGCCACGTCAGGAAGATAAAGAGGATGCTTCAAAGATACACTTCGACAACTTCAACGGAAAAATAGAGTCATTTACGACGTATATTCAACGACTCGAAAACTTGTTTGACCTCCATCGAATTCAAGCCACTCCTGACGGAAACGCACTGCGAGCCAAGGTACTTCTAAACTACATTGGCACCCAATATTATCAACTTCTCTGTTCACTATGTTCACCAGATTTGCCTACTTCAAAAACGTATACCGAAATTGTAGATGTTTTAACGAAACATCTATGTCCAAGGCAAAACATAGACGTAGCTCAATTCAATTTTATGAAGAGATCTCAAACAGCAAGCGAAACCATTAGTGAGTATCTAGCTTCCTTAAAGCAATTAAGTATACCTTGTCAATTCAATTGTATACATGATAGTTGTAAACGATCAGTTTCGGCACTTTTCCTACGACCAGTATTCATATGTGGCCTTCGAGATTCAAATATTCGCGAGAGGTTATTAATCGAACAAAAACAGTCATTTGACGAGCTAGTTGAACTTGCGATCACCCTCGAAGCATCAAAGAGGAATAACGAGAATCTTGCGGCAAGCTGTTCATCAACCTTACCAACGGGAGTTATTCAATCAGCTGTGCAAGTTAATGAAGTGAAATCTCACAAGAAAATTCATCGAAACCGCAGCCGTAACAGGAATAGCGATCATGTTCGAAATTCCTCAAACTCTCAAAGTCGCTGTAATTCACAGACACGTAATAAATTCAGTTATCTAGGAATAGGTCACTTATGTTTACGCTGTGCACTGGCAAATCACTCATCACGTGAATGTAGAATCTCGCAAGATAAACTGCATTGCAATTCGTGCAATAAATCCGGGCATGTTGCTAAAGTCTGCATATCTACGTTATTCAAAAATCGGAAGAATCGCAATGCTTCGGTACAATACCTCGATGACCCAATGCCTTCAAGCAGCTCAAGTTCAAATTATGTGCTACAAGTTGTCACCATTCCAAATATTTTGAACACCTCAGTTAACTACACTGACAGAAAGTTTCAAATTGCTGTGCAATTAGAAAATAAGGAATCCAACTTCGAAATTGATTCTGGCAGTCCTGTAACGTTTATGTCGAAGAGCAATTATGATAAATTAAAGCTAAGTGCGGTTATTCAAAGTGCGGACATTCAATTTCGTTCGTTTACACTACAGCCATTCACTCCATACGGAAAAGCGGAGATAAGTGTTCAATATCGTGATATAGGTGCAACACTACCACTTTATATCATTAATCGAAATGTAACGTCGATTTTAGGAAGAGATTGGATGAAAACTCTAGGGTTATCAATAACTCATACAAATCCCAGTGATCGTACACCACAGGAGCCCTACGCAGTTCAACAAGTGCAGTCTCCCAATTCAAATTGTGCGGAAGAAATATTTTCTACGTTTGCAGATCTGTTTAAACCAGAAATAGGATGCATTCCCGGGATAAAGTGTTCGTTACGAATTCGCGAAAACACGAAGCCCATGTTTTTAAAAAACCGTACAGTGCCATATGCGTTACTCGATAAAGTAAATAAAGAGCTTGATAAATTGGAATCACAACAAATAATTACCAAGACTACACACAGCGAATGGGGATCACCTTTAGTAATCGTACCGAAATCAAATAATGAAGTACGGCTCTGCGTAGATTTTAAAGCTACAGTCAATCCAAATTTACACGAGGCAAGATACCCCATCCCATTAATCGAAGATATTTTCAACAGATTACGAGGTGGAGTATATTATTGCACCTTAGATGTACATAAAGCATATTACCACATCAAAATGGACGAAGAAAGCTCAAAAATTCAAGCTATTTCTACGCACCGCGGAGTCTATCTCATGAATCGATTGGCTTTTGGAATTAAAGTCGCACCCAACGAATTTCAACGTATCATGGATGAAACATTCTCACACATTCCAGGCACCGCCGTGTATTTTGATGACATTATTATCACAGGTAGTACAATTGAGGAATGTCGACAGCGGTTAATCACCTGCTTACATAAATTACGCTCGATGAATTTGCATTTAAATCGCGACAAGTGCAAGTTGTTTCAAACGGAAGTGACATATTTAGGGCACACAATCGGGAAATTTGGTATTAAGAAAACGAAGGATAAAGTTCAAGCCATTGTAGATGCGCCACGCCCGATCAACTCCGAACAGGTACATTCCTTTATTGGTCTTACGATGTATAAACGCCAAATTTCTACCTGATATCTCGACAAGTACAGCGCCATTACGTGAACTGTTGAAAAAGAACGTTAAATTTGTGTGGACAAATAAATGTGAAAAGGCTTTCAACGACATAAAAACGTTAATATCGAGTGATCGAGTTTTAGTGCCTTACGACACGGTAGTGAAATTGGCAGCGAAAAGTTAGCAGCGATTTTAGGAGGTTGCAACACTGTACCACTCTCGCGTTATAAACCACGCCCACTTAACCAGGGATTCTAAAATATTAAACCGAGATCATCTATAAGAAAATGTGATTTTAAAATGCGAGAACACTAAAATATAAATACACCCCTCAGTAAAATCGACTTACTTATTTTAAAAAAGCATTACAATCATCTGCACTATTAAACGAAATACCTATATTGAAAATATAATAACGACTCAGATTTAAGACATAAGTGGCGTGTAAAGTACGAAGAAACGCTTTTTAAAGCAGAAGATCTGCAAATAAAACAGCAAACTAATATAACTTAATAAAAGTTACGCTTTGAACTATTATCTATCTGTGGGGAAAATGCCAGCAGCGATTTTTCGCGCCCCATACCGCATTTACCTATCCCTTATCAGAACTAAGCCCCTAGGCCTGGTGCCCGAATGAGCTTCGGCATACACAATCAGGTGCCCTTGTAGATTAAGAAAAAAATTATATTTTGAAAATTCTATGTGGGGAACATGCCAGCAGCGATTTTCGGCGCCCAAAAACGCATTTACCTATCTCTCATCAGAACTAAGCCCCTAGGCCTGGTGCCCGAATGAGCTTCGGCATACACAATCAGGTGCCCTTGTAGATTAAGAAAAAAATTATATTTTGAAAATTCTATGTGGGGAACATGCCAGCAGCGATTTTCGGCGCCCAAAAACGCGTTTACGTATCTCTTATCAGAACTAAGCCCCTAGGCCTGGTGCCCGAATGAGCTTCGGCATACACAATCAGGTGCCCTTGTAGATTAAGAAAAAAATTACATTTTGAAAATTCTATGTGGGGAACATGCCAGCAGCGATTTTCGGCGCCCAAAAACGCGTTTACGTATCTCTCATCAGAACTAAGCCCCTAGGCCTGGTGCCCGAATGAGCTTCGGCATACACAATCAGGTGCCCTTGTAGATTAAGAAAAAAATTATATTTTGAAAATTCTATGTGGGGAACATGCCAGCAGCGATTTTTCGGGCCCCATACCGCATTTACTTATCTCTTATCAGAACTAAGCCCCTAGGCCTGGTGCCCGAATGAGCTTCGGCATACACAATCAGGTGCCCTTGTAGATTAAGAAAAAAATTACATTTTGAAAATTCTATGTGGGGAACATGCCAGCAGCGATTTTCGGCGCCCTAAAACGCGTTTACGTATCCCTTATCAGAACTAAGCCCCTAGGCGTTTCGGGAATTGATTAGTTCCTTCAATACTTGGAGCCCTTGATATGGCAGCGATCTTTCTATACAACATTTGGACACAATTCCAAAGGGATTATCTGAGGGACTAGCAGACACTTTCATCTCATAAATTTAATATACACAATTTAAATTAATTGCCAAATACGTATGGGCCTATATTTTATATTCAAAGGTATGGGCCGGTGTTAATAGGTATACCTACAGATACGCGGAGGGAGCGTGGGACCATGTAATAAAGTGTCCTTTAAGAATGTGTTGCATTTCTATTTTCTTATCTGCCTATATAAGGGATTATAGATGCACCGCTTGTCTGAATTTTACAACAATCGCTATTGTTACAAATTGGGTACGTTTTGCAAAAACAGTTTGTCCTCTATACTTTTAAAATAGTTACCTGTTTTCTGTCCTAAATCGTGACATAAATATATTAGGGATATTTCTCCACCTTTATATAAAAATGAAGTGCTTGCGGAATGTTTTGTTTTCAAGGAAAGGAAGTTTCATTTTTCATTATGAACAATCTATTTATAACTACGGTCATCATTACTTCCTGTAGGTAATTAGTATACCGTACAATCAAAGTAGAATATAATATAATATACTGCACAACGAAGGCGAACTAGCGAACTTCTTTCGGCGGTAGATATTGAGCAAACACATCAGAATCAAAATCATTATCTTTGAATTGAGTAATTATTGTGGAGAAAAAACAAGGATGTTATTAACCCGTCCCCAATTAGGAGATTTTTATGTATCTATATCTATATGTGTGTGTTAGCACAGACAACATGTTGTCTGTGGTGTTAGGTACCTATATTAGGTGAAGGTGGTAGAAAGATGGAAAATAGGTCAAGGTTCCTTGGTTTGTTTATCAATAATTGTTTGGTTACATTACATGTTTAATAATATAAAATACCATAATGTACAGTTTATTGGTTTACATCTACATAGTATTTTTACGTTACATACATATGTGTAAGTACATAAATCAGTCTGTAAAATAAACTATTAGATACTGATTCTATTCACATCTGAAATCAAAAACTTGAAGTTTGATTGTATAAGATTATCGTTTAATTCAGACAAAACTTACTCGCCCAATGGCATCAAGATTGTGCCATATTTAATAATTTATTGAAATGATATACAGAGTGTTAGCTCAATTATAATTTATTTTCAAGATGGCTTTATTATGTATAAAAAACTAAACTGGCGTACAACTTTATTAAAACTATTAAATATAACTATTATCGCAAATGCTACCTATACAACTGATTTCTACGGCGGCCTCAGAGGATCTGTTCCTTTTCGGCAATTTCCGAATACATGTGGTCAAGTTTACCCTCTGCGGCCAATACAAAGAAATGCACCGCTACAAATCACATATTACTTAATTTACGCCCAACTTCTTTGACGGGATTTCACCGCTGTCCCACAAAGCAGCTGGTCGAACTTAAAATTATAACAAGAGAAAAACGCAAGAGAGTATAGAATCCGGAAGTACCAAACAAAGATACATGAAAAAATCCGATAAAACTAAATACCGAGCGATCCTCGAATTCGTTTTGAGGCTGAAACTTTTTTACCACGAATTATACGTAGCCGAAAAACAATGGCGGCCTGCGGCCCTTAAGAACGTGTATACATTTTCAAAGCAATCGGACGTTTCTCCTAAGCAAAGTTATCGTGTACACGGACACGGACAGACACACAGACAGTAATACAAAATTATAAACGATCTCGAGAATCGTTAATAACTTAAACCTACCCATAACCAAACAGCCTAACACAAACTAAAACCTACCAATTACCAACTACCAAACTAGAAACTACCAATGACTTACCTAACCATCACCAAACTAGGAACTACTTAAACCTACCAATGACTTAACCTAACCCATCACCAAACTAAAAACTACTTAAACATACGAATGACTTAACCTAACCCATCACCAAACTACTAGCCTAAAAAAACAATCTATAACAATAATTCACCGGGCAAGACACTGTGAACTACTTGTAGCCCGTAGCCGTTGAGGTGTATGCCGTCTCTATAATAAAAAAATCTATGGTGATTGCGAAACAAATAAATGAAATATACTTACGTCTCAAAACATTCCCTTCTTCCACCAAGGGCTGCATTTATATCACAAACTTGGACGCGTCCTGTAAATTGAATTATTAAATTATTTAAAACACTATTATGAGACTACTTACTATCTGTGTAACCCCTAATAAAATTATTGTACTGATCCAACGCCGCGCGTTGGGTTTCTGTGGCGCCTAAAATGGGCGCCAACGTACACAAGTATACTTTCCGGACCTCTTGACTTTTTAAAGATGTCAATATACGCAAGAGGCCCGTCCTCATTATATGGTATTTCGTATTCTAAAACAATGTAATGTAGAAGGATTTTTTTTCCTTTCTATGTGCACTTACCCTAAGAATATCATTTGTTCCAATCATTAGAACCACTTCCTTGGCCAATTTGTAACTAAAATTAGGCGATTTGCATCGCTGCACCCGTTTCTGCAGCTGGGCAATTGTCTGGCCGCCGATGGCCAGTTGTACGTAAATTTTAACATTTTTTTGGTTTAACACCTTCATCCGACAGTTGCGTTGTAGTAGGACTTTGTTGCCGTACCGCCTCAGATTGGATGCACCCAGCAACGTAACTTTATCCTGAGATAACAATATCATTATTATCGAAGCAAGACCAATATAAAGAAACAATGCAAATAGACAATCAACCGTATTAGACATAAGATGAGTAATATAAACTATTTATAGCAAACAGCAAATTGTATATTCGAGTCATCGAGTGCGTTCAGTCCTCATTCACTTAGACCCCATCCCCATCGTCCCACAAAAAATTGTCGGGCTAATATGCTTTAGTACTCGTACCGTTGTTTAAATAAAGTACTTATCATTACCTATACACTATTCATTTGACTGTGGTTCTTGTGAACACCTCGAGATAGGCGAGATCCCAAAAAACACGTTAAATGATGTAAATAAAAGTTCAATTTCTAATAATTCAAATTCCGCACGAAAATATTTCCTATTGCATTAAAAATGCAGTCAAATACTTCTGTTATTCGGCCTATGATTTATACAAAATGTTTAAATTAAAGCCTCGTAAATAACTTCAAGATTTACGTGTTCCAAAATTTTCTTCAAAAACCCTGTCCGTTATTGTTCATTTCCGTATGCGTAGGGTGTATACTAGAATTACCTATACCGGGGCTGTCCGATATAATAGTATATTATATTATGAGGAGCTAAAATATTACTTTTTATGGCGAGCCAGTGTTTGATACTGACGAGCCGTAAGAAGTTACTTTAGCTCCGCATAATATATGCTATTTTTTCTTCAAACGTGAGAATAGCGCCCAAATAATGGTTTTCAAATCGGAAGAAATATTAACCCGATCGTTATAGGTAGCCGTGAGCGCGTCGGCCGTGGTGACTATAACAATTGCTATAGTTAGCCATTAGGTATTAGCATTGAATAAAAACACTATTTATTCAATGGTATTAGGTAGTTTCGACGTTTTAATTGTGGGCGAGTTTTTTGTAGGTAAGTATCCTTTCAGTTTTTAGAAAATTACGACCTTAGTAATTTCTGTAATTCCTTTAGCGATCATGGATTGATATTGCACGCCACCTAACATGGAGGAAGTTGCTTTAGCGGCGGTCGAAAATTTACTTCCTAAAAGTCAAAGGAAATCTACGACAAAGCTTGTAGGTAATTTATTGATTGGTGTAAGCAAAAGAACGCAAAAACCTACTCGGAACATGTGCTTCTGGCTTATTTTGTTTAAAGAGACATGGTGGCTAGAAGTCCAATTGTGTGGCTGAAGGTTACATAGAAGACTCGATTTCAAATAAAAATGAAATTGCACAATAGTATATTATATACCGCGGGACTGAAGTAGCACTTTTAATCTCGAAGGTAAAGTTTATGGCCCGACCGCAGGGAGGGCCATAATTTACCTGAGGGATTAAGACTACTTAATGGAGTGAAGTGTCACTTTTTGTCCCGCCGGGATTAAATTTGGACGAAAATCCCGGAAGGATGAAATTATTAACAAGGCAATTTCAGTAGGTTGTTCCACATTTTGTATGCGGTACTACTTCTTAAACGCATCGTACTGCTGCTCATATATAACTCTCGCCAGGAAAGATTGCCGGTCACAGAACACTTGATCCCGATCTACAATCTCTGTTTTTCGTAAGGTGCTAGCGATTTCCGGGATAGTATCGTGTCAATGTTGAACGAAAAGACTTTTTGTTCAACATTAGCACGATCCTATTCCAGAAGTCGCTCGCATCTTAATAAAAACAAAGATTGTACATCGACACAAGGTGTGCTGTGACCGGCAATCTTTCCTGGCGAGAGTTATAGTTTTTTGGATTTCGGTGGTATCAATTCTTCATCTACTTCGGCTGTTCTTTTATCAAAATGAAGTACACCTTTGTCACCCACGTCCAAAATTATGACACTAGCAATGACAGTTTCCAAATTATTTTTGTTACCATAGCATAGGATAGGGTTTGTCGTACCAATGCAACGTTCCTATGGTAACTTGTTAAGCAGCGATTTTTTGAAAGAACGTTTTCTCTAACTCCATACATATTAAGTGTTTCAGTTTCGGAAGTACGAAAAATATCGTATATACCTTGCGACTGAAGTAGTAGTCTTAATCCCTCAGGTAAATTATGGCCCTCCCTGCGGTCGGGCCATAAACTTTACCTTCGGGATTAAAAGTGCTACTTCAGTCCCGCGGTATATAATATACTATTCGACAACTTTAGAAAATCCAGGTTTATCAGATGGAATGACTTCAATTACTCCTCCATTTGAAGTAGAAACCAATCCAGTTTTTGAAAAACTTCATTCATTCATTAGAAATAAGATGAGCTAAACAAAACTTGATTCTTCAAAACTTGGATGCTGCAGGAACGAGCTCAGGGTTTAATTTCAATAATGGTAATATGACTAACTGCACTTTCAACATTAACAATTATTTAAATAAATAAATAGCTTCTTTGATCGACTATATTTTTATTTCTGTTAAAATTAGAAGGAAAGATCAACGCACTTGCTAGGTGAACGAAGAACCTAATGTAAATAACATCAAATTGTCAAAGCAAAACAATGTGACACTGGCACTGAAGCGTTTTAATGCCTAGGCACTAAAATACTTCACTGCCGCTTGTTCGATTGTTCTAAAAAGTCAAACTTTAACTCAGAGTGCTGGGCTACGTAATGTCAATATTATATGACGTTTGAAGAAAAATATTTTTTTCCGGCCGCTAGAATATCACTGATAAGAGTTTCATACAAAGATGTTATAATGTGGTCCTCCAAGTGGTATTTTTTTTAAAGTGGTCCTCAGGCCACTTGAAGTTGCACAGCCCTGTTCTATACTAAAATATGAACACAATCGGTCGAGCCATTACCTCGGATAATTGCCAACGTACGGACGTACATACATACATACAGACGGAAAATATGTTATTCTTTAAAAGTTGCTTAAAATGGTCTAAAACTTCGACATTTGATGAAATATTAACATGTCCAAAAACTGGTGATCGCAATAGCCACCTAGCTCGAGCTGGGAAGCTATTATAAAGTATTGTTACCAAGATAAATGAAAAACAGAAAACTGTTAATATAAGAAACATAATTTAAATGTATTTTTTATTACTTAAATACCTACACCTTCAGGGTCTTTTATTAAAATTATTTCCCTGGGAAGCATGTGTTTTTTTTCCATTTTTCTTATTCATGTCTTAGACAATGGCGAATCGCCCATAGTTTGGGAAAAGTGACCTACTGTGTACTCTTTCAATTTACGAGTAGTAATCGAGGAATATTTTTCTTCGATTGGCGATAGTAATTTTTATGTAGCTATTTCCGGATATATTAATCTGAAATATTTGCTGACTTTTACCAATTGCTTGTGAGACCAAAATGTCCAAAGTAAAAAAAATGTACAATGTTATTAATTTAGAGATCAAATGAAAAAAAATAAATAAGCATTCGAAATTGATGTGGGAGTAAATAATGTTAATTTAATTTTGCTGAAAAAAATAAACCAAAAATATCGATGTCATAACTAGGTATCTACGTATTCGAACTTTACTACCGTTTACAACTTACAATTGACTAAAATAAAATTGACAAAAATTGCAATTTTCACCAAATTGTTCTTTGAGTTTACATTCATTGAAATCCAAATAAATCCTAAATTAATTTATTAAGCGACATGGCAAAGAGATGCAAGTTTTATAAGGGAGTCAATAATGTCTGATTGTCCGCCTGTGGACCCGATAACTGGCAAACGCTTGGACCGACCTTGGACCGATGCGGTTCAAACTTTGCACAGTTGACCTGCATGGCACGCGTAAGTGTAACAGCCTATTGATCCCGCAGGGACAACCCGAGGTCATGCCGCTTATCTAAATTCCCTTCTCACCCAATTTATTTCTCTCTGGTTGTTTAGTGATGACACCTAATTGTAGATGTATGAAAGACCATTAAAATGAAAAAAATGGGCCAAATTCTTGACAGAACAGCTTCCTAGCTCGATCCAAAAATAGCGCTTTTAGAAGAGTGTTTGGAAAAATGTTAAGTCTAGGTAAAAACATTTATTATTTTCCGATGTATAGAATAAGAATATTCAATACAAAGTAGGTTTCTAGTTAAAAAAATAAGTAGCCCTACACTTGACTGTTAAGGGACAGTTATGTGAAAATGTGAATACGATCATTAAATGGGCCCCTCTATATGAAGAAGATTGTCTTAATCATCTTTGATATCCTCGCTATAGTTTCCGCAATAAACCGACCTGTATATAAATTAATTAAGTAACATTGATTGAAATAAGTATAAGATTACCATAACTGTCAGAAAAGAAATGATCATTGTACGCCCTCGGCTACTCCCCAATTCGTCTCTTTATGCGCAGTTAAACCCCTATAAATAATTCCTCAAACTCTAGGCATGAAAACTATCTTATACAGGGTGTCAATTAATTGAGTGCCGATAATACAGGGTGTGCATCCTCGGGTGATTTTAAGGAGAAAACTTATATCAGCAGATGCCCTAAACGGCCTAAACCTGTTAGTTTTTGAGCTACGGGGTGTTAAAATTTTAAGAAAAATCACTCTTACATATTTTTATGAAATTTTGTATACACCTTTTCATCAATAAGGAGCATTTTTTGACGTAAAATATTTTTTTAAATTTTCACCAGTGACGTTCGAACGGGGTTTGAACTGACCATTTTATTTATTAAGTTTAGTTCCTCCTTAAAATCACCCGAGGATTGACAGCCTGTATTATCGGCACTCAATTAATTAACACCTTGTATAATCATTACCACCGTAGAGGTAATAACGATATAACCGTATTTATTTTTGTTTATTCCGAATTCCATTGTTATACTTGGACACAAACCCCTTAAAGTAATAATTCTAATTAGATTTTTTATGATTTGTTCTCTCCTAAATACTCCACGTTGTGTTACTAGACGTCCGTCCGCCCGGTCGCTGCTAGATCTTTATCTTAAGGGCTAAGTCAATTTGTTCATGTACCATAATTTTACACCTTTGCTGTTTATTAACGATCCTCGAGATATATAATTTTTAATTTATAATTTCGTATTGTCTGTTGGTCTGTCTGCCTATCCGTGTGCATGATAACTTTGTTTAGAACCGTCGGATCACTTTGAACATTGGTACGCATGTTCTTAAGCATATAAGAAAGGTCGGTATTGTTTTTCAGCTACGTAGACTAACGGGTCAAAAAGGTACAGTCCAAAAACCTCCAAAAAGTAAGGTTCTTTTATCATTCTTGTTACAAAGAACATATGAATT